AGGATAGAATAAGAAATGAAGAGCTGTGGGAAAGGACAGGACAAAAGGATATAGAAGTAAAAATAGGACTAAGAAAGTGGCGATGGATGACAATGACAATGACAATGACAATCTTTATTCATCTCGCAGGGAGAAATTTGTCTTGGTCGTTAACAATGGCAGTTGACGTTACAAAAGTTAGACTTAAAGGAGCACTCATGCAAACGCACAATAAGACAGAACATTATGCCAAGTAAATACATGTCTCACGGGCTGGGACAACCCGCTCCGTAACACATTCATTCTCTCTCCCTCTCTCTCTCTCTCTCTCTCTCTGTTTCATTTGTAGCACTGTGTGTTCAGTAACCTCACTGCAGTTGGTACGAATGAATTTCTATATCTGTCTGTTCTTGCTTTTTTGGAAATGTATCGTTTACAGCGGGTCGATAGTTGAAATTCCGATGTCAGTGGGTGGCTATGGTCACTAAGCATTATTTCCGCCTTTTTTAGAACGTTTGTCTTGTGCAGATATTCAAAGTTACTTAGGTCTCTACCAATTGTTCTTGATGCCTTTTTTATTAACTTATTTAGTTTTATAATGTGCTGCCTTCCCAGATTGCTACCATAGCAAGTGATTCCAAAATTTATCAAAGTTTCTATTGTGGTGGTGTAGAAAATCTGAAGGATGGATGGATTCAGATTGAAAGACTTTAGTTTCCTCAGAAAGTACAGCCTCTGATTTACTTTTTTAACGATATTGTTTACGTGGTTTTGCCATGTAAATTTTTTGTCTATTGTAAGGCCAAGATATTTGTATGAATCCGTGATTTCAATAGTTTCTTGTTCAATTACGAGTGGTGGGATTGTTGGTTTTTCTCTTCTAAAATCAAAAATCATTTCCTTTGTTTTTGAGAGGTTCACTTTTAGAAAATTTGAGTTGCACCATTTAAAAAACCTACATATTTCTTCGAAATACTCTTTTTCATCAAGGTTTATTAATCCAATAATAGCGGAGTCATCTGCAAACTTAATTAAGCGTGTTGTTTTATATATATACTTCTATGATCGTTGGTATATATAGTATACAAAACTGGTGACAAAACACACCCCTGAGGACCGCCGGTGTTACAAAGAATTGTGTCAGATGGGACACACCTTAAGAAAGCCCAGCGGAAACATCACAAGACAGTCACTGCAGTGGAACCCACAAGGAGCCCGAGGCAGGGGTAGGCCACGGGAAACATTATGGAGGAGATGCGTGGAAAGGGACATGAGAGAAATGAGGCTCACTTGGAACGAGCTTGGAAGGATGGCTCAGGAAAGAGATAAATGGAAGGAGCTTGTATGTGGCCTATACCCTGCCAGGGGTGAAAGGCATTGATGACCCACATTTAGAACCACCTACCGCCCCTGGGACTTGGGGCAATCGAGTCAAAACCTAGCCACAATTTTTACCCGACTTTTCAGTTCTAAGAATCCTTAGAAAGCGTTGCATAAGAAAATGTAACTTGTCTTTGATAGGGTTGCATCTTGCTTCAAATCAGAGAATGTCCCGTCCCACTTGTCTTTGATTTCACTGATTATGCATATATATTTGTCATTGTCCCCGAGATTGAAGCCAGTATAGCAGAATTTGAATCTAAGTACAGTCGAACCTGCCCTGACAGCCACCTCTATAAGACGGCCACCTGTGCAAACGGCCACTTTCCATTTCCCCCCTTGCGTTTTTTCTATATAATTTAACTGTGTAAGACGGGCACCTGTCCAACGCGGCCGCGGCCACCATATTTTAACACACAACCCCTATTGCACTGAGCAAAAACACCTGTCTTAGACGGCCACCTTAGAGACTCCATTACGTTTTGTCATATATTGTGCATTGGCCCCTGACGTTGTGGGCGAGCCTTCATAATCCAATCACTTCTCGTTGTTGTTAGGTAGTCCCTCCAAACGATCATGTTGCATAGGCCCCTCCCACTGTTGACCAATTGGTACCGATTTTCAGCTGCTGGTGAGGTAAGCGTGTGATCCCTCATAACCCGTAAGCCCCGCCCAAACATCATACACAAATCGTAAGTGAGATGAGTGGTCACTGTTTACCCAGTCTGTAACAAAGTAACAAAGGACGTCAACACGAACTTGCGACAGAAGCATCCCTCATTCTCCGAGTGGTGGCGACCCATGTGTTTGTTTTAACATGGCACTCGGTCTTCCTCGTCTGATACATTTCGTTTTATTGTCACTATGTCACCCTTGCGCAAAATCAGA